CGGCACTGCTGCGTGAGTCCCAAAGGCTTCCACGCAGGGCTTCTTAGCAGCGCCACACCACTTGTGAGCCCACTCAGGGCTCGGAGGCGGTTGGGGGGGGGTAATATGCAGAAAAGTGAGTGGAGGCTCGCAAGAGCAGAGGGAAGGCTTGGTCTGGAGAGGAGAGGACCTAGGAGGAGTAAGAATGAGGAGAGGGAGAGGAGAAAGGAAGGGAAAAGAGGCGGGGCTGGGAGGGAGGAGGGGGAGGGGGGACCCGCCACCGGGAAAGGGGAAAGGGAGAATCCAGGCAGGGGGAGGTCAAAAGGGGTTAGCGCTGACGTCCAGGACCCTGCGTGCAGAGAACGACTCCTCCCTACAGTCCTCACACGCGCACAGTCGGGAATTCTCGGCCAAGACATTCCGCCCAAGGGCAGGTGGGTCGGAACCAGACCCTGAAGGCTCTGTACCTTCCCCCTCCCTTCCCGGAGGAGGGGATGAGAGGGGCTGGGGGCGGGGTTGAGGAAGGGGGACGCGTGCGCTGAGCCCCCGGGTCCTGGCAGCGCGTTCCAGCTGTGAGAACAGATGGAGGCAGCACGGCTCACCTCGGGGGCTCCGTGCCCGCTGTGCGCCGAGGTCCAGGCTGAGGAGGAGGTCTAGAGCCCCCGGCTGTCCCTGCTCCCACCAGGCTGCGGGGAACCAGCTGCCGCACCCCTCCTACCAAGTAGGGGAAGAACGGGGCCTCACTCCTGTAGGTCCCAGAACAGGGGGAAACCGAGAGCCGGTTCTTTCCACAGCGCAACCATCCCTAGGGGCTTGTTTGGGACGCTTGCTCCCAAAGACCCCTTTCCCTGGCTTCCAGCCTGGGTGCATCTGATAAAGCAGACCCCTGCCCGGACGCGCCCCGCCCCCGGCCCCCGCCCCGACGACGTCGCATTAGCATGAGCGACGCCAGTGGCCCGGGCACCACTCGGGGGCCGAGACTCACCGCGTCATAGCCCCAAGTGGAGGGAGAAAAAAAGAGGCGGCGGAGGAAGAGGCAAGAACGGACGCGCGGGGAGGGGAGCGCGGCGGCGGGGCTGGAGAGGCGGCGGGCGGTGGCAGCATGCCCCTGGGCGGGCGCACACGGCCTCTGCGCTGCAGGGACTGCTCCTGCGTTCTCTGGGTACCGCGCACCCAGTCTCCCGCCTCAACCCCTCTGCTTGCCCACCTCCGCGGTTGCACCTGAAACAGAGGCAACTGGTCCCTGGAGCAGCTAAGAGCAGCAGCACCACGCGGGACAGTCCTTGCTTTTCTCTGAGCTCGGGGATATGAGCCCCGCGGCCACCTGAAGCACAGGGGGCGCTCCGCGGCTAGGACCGACCGCGCCCCCGAAGTCCCGTACCCTAGCCTCTGCACTGCGGGACGCCGGCGCCCGACTCCGGCAGAGGCATCTTCGGAAGGACAGCGGGCAGGGGTATGGAACCCACCGCGCCAACCGGTCAGGCCCGAGCGGCGGCCACCAAGCTGTCGGAAGCGGTGGGAGCCGCGTTACAAGAGCCCCAGCGGCAGCGGCGCCTGTTGCTGGTCATCGTGTGCGTTGCACTGTTACTGGACAACATGTTGTACATGGTCATCGTTCCCATTGTTCCCGACTATATCGCCCACATGCGAGGGGGCAGCGAGAGCCCTACCCTGGCCTCTGAGGTGTGGGAACCCACCCTGCCGCCGCCCACTCTGGCTAATGACAGCGCCTACTTGGCCAACACCTCGGCGTCCCCGACGGCTGCAGGGTCTGGCCGGTCAATCCTGAGGCCTCGCTACCCCACAGAAAGTGAAGATGTGAAGATAGGGGTGTTGTTTGCCTCCAAAGCCATCCTGCAGCTTCTGGTGAACCCCTTGAGCGGGCCTTTCATTGATCGCATGAGCTACGACGTGCCGCTGCTTATTGGCCTGGGCGTCATGTTTGCCTCTACAGTCATGTTTGCCTTTGCAGAGGACTATGCCACGCTCTTCGCTGCGCGCAGTCTGCAAGGCCTGGGCTCAGCCTTCGCGGACACATCTGGCATAGCCATGATCGCCGACAAGTATCCCGAGGAGCCTGAGCGCAGTCGTGCCCTGGGCGTGGCGCTGGCCTTCATCAGCTTTGGAAGTCTGGTGGCGCCACCCTTTGGGGGCATCCTCTATGAGTTCGCCGGCAAACGTGTGCCCTTTCTAGTGCTCGCTGCCGTGTCGCTCTTCGACGCGCTGCTGCTGCTGGCGGTGGCTAAGCCTTTCTCGGCTGCGTCTCGGGCGCGGGCCAACCTGCCCGTGGGCACACCTATCCATCGCCTTATGCTGGACCCTTACATCGCTGTGGTAGCCGGCGCGCTGACGACCTGTAACATTCCCCTTGCGTTCCTCGAGCCCACCATAGCCACGTGGATGAAACACACAATGGCGGCATCCGAATGGGAGATGGGCATGGCCTGGCTGCCGGCGTTCGTGCCGCACGTGTTAGGCGTGTATCTCACCGTGCGCCTAGCGGCGCGCTATCCACACCTGCAGTGGCTGTATGGCGCTCTCGGGCTAGCGGTGATTGGAGTGAGCTCGTGCATCGTGCCCGCCTGCCGCTCCTTCGCGCCGCTAGTGGTTTCGCTCTGCGGCCTCTGCTTCGGCATCGCGTTAGTGGACACGGCGCTGCTACCCACGCTCGCCTTCCTGGTGGACGTGCGCCATGTATCAGTCTATGGCAGCGTCTATGCCATAGCTGACATCTCCTATTCTGTGGCCTACGCGCTCGGGCCCATAGTGGCAGGCCATATTGTTCACTCGCTTGGCTTTGAGCAGCTCAGCCTTGGCATGGGCCTGGCCAACCTGCTCTACGCACCAGTCCTATTGCTCTTGCGTAATGTGGGTCTCCTTACACGCTCGCGTTCCGAGCGCGATGTGCTGCTTGATGAACCACCGCAGGGCCTGTACGACGCCATGCGCCTGCGTGAGCGTTCTGTGCAGGGCACGGACAGCGGTGAACCTTGCAGCCCGCCTGGCCCTTTTGATGGGTGCGAGGACGACTACAGCTACTATACCCGCAGCTAGCAGACCTCCAGGCCACCTACCCTCCCCGTTTAGGTCAAGATGGCCATTCTGCGAGAGTACTGGCCATATATGACTTGGGATCCACCTCCTCCAGCGAGTACCCTAGTACCCTCCCTAGCCTTGAATTCCCTTGCTGGGATCCCTTCTTCGTGACCCATCTCAATCTCACCGCCCCTCCCCCTTACACACTCTCATGTCTGTTGAGGGAATGGAGCAGGGAGGCATGAGAAACTTTTAGGCTCTTGGCAGAGGGAAAGAGATGTATGGGCGATCACCAAGCGCCGACAGAGCGCCCCAAAATACTCATGCAGCTGTTTGTCCTTCCTGCGGATCTTTCCAGTGCCAAACTTGGTCTGCTGCACCCCGGTGCTTCCGGCCTGAATTAATAAACCATATCTGTCTGAGGAGGCCGTCTCTTTACTGATTAGGAGTGGGTGGTGTGACACAAAACCTGAGCAGAGAGAAAGCTGGCCTGGGTTTCACGTGTTCAGTTCAGGCCTGAGGAGTATTGAGACCCCAATAGGCTCCTTTGCTGCCTGGTAAAAGAAAACAAACTCAAATAGGGCTCTCCCCCATGGATAACTAGAAACACACACACACACACACACACACACACACACACACACACACACACACCATGGTCCCTCCTTTCCAAGCTTAGTGCAGCACCTGGAGGTTCCACCCGAGGGAGCTTGTGGATATGCCCGGCCTTGGAGGACAGCTGGTACCAGGAGCTCTCCAGTGCCTGAACTGGGTTTTCACACACCCTGGAATCCCATCTTGTCAAGAAGCACGCAGGAGGGAACTGCTTTCTGCAGAGAAGGGAGAGGCAGTCCCTGCTTTAAGGGCTCCAGCCTGAGGACAGTATCCCTTACAGCTCTATTACCTGAGGAACCGGAGAGCAGTGGTTCAGTCTGTGGCAGTTTGAATGGAGATGAGAAGGAATGTGGATGTGGGAACTGGTGCCAATCCCTAGCTTGCCCTGTCCTGAATGAAATTGGCCATTCAGGATGTCAGGGAAGTTTCCCACCCTTCATTTCCCATGGTGGAAGCCCGGGTTGTAGGCAGCACTCTTATTCCTGGATCCTGCTGTCTGATCACAGACTCTGATTTTCAGAGTCAAGAGGCAGTGGGTTAGGGTAAGCTGTGTGTATACTGTTGGTGTGTGTGTGTGTGTGTGTGTGTGTGTGTGTGTGTCTGTCTGTCTGTCTGTCTGTCCGTCTGTCCTTGTCTATGAGTCTGCTTGTGTGAGATATATACTATATATTAATGAGGGTGTACTTTGCCTGGGAGATGTGTCTGTGGACCTTTGGTTGAGTTCTCAGACAATCCCTGACAGCCATCACAGTGGACCAAGTCTGTGTTTCCTTGATTCTCTTCGCTCCTGCAGGAATAGGATGGCAAAGAAAGGAAGGGAGGTCCCAGAATGGCCAACAAACTCATTAAATTATAATATTTTAAAGAGGTGCAGTAGGGTTCTAGCCTGGTCTAGCTTGTTAGCAGGGGCAGAATTGCTTCTGACCCAAACACTCCACAGGATGCTGCATAAACAGCTGCACAGGAGACCATGCAGATGGGGTAACCTGGGAACCACCGGGGAAGGCTGAGGTGAGGTGATGGGCATTAGCAGGACAATGTTCGACAATGTTCTGTGCCCCTTTCCAGAGCCTAGATGCGATGCCAGAGTACGAACTCATCCGTGAAGCTGTCTGAGACGGGTTTTGAGGACAGAAGATGGGAATCACAGGGCGGGGCGTAGGGTGGTAGAGCAGAGGACTGTGAGGAAGAGAAGGAGGGAGGGACGAGGGAGGAGGGGGAAAAAGAGAAGGGGAGGGAGGTGGAAGGGGAGGGAGTTGAGAGAGGTGGGGCTGGTTTGCTTGCTGTCAGTCGGGCAGCTGCTGGGACCCGGCAACGTCCGTCGGAGGCTCTACTACAGGGCTAGGCGGTGGCCCCAATCTCTGGTGAAGCTGCCTGGTCCTTCTGGCTCACACAGCCGCCTCCAGCCCAGCCCTGCTTGGTGTGGAGCAGCGCGGGTTCGGCGCAGAACAGCCCAGGAGAGCAGGTGAGGAGCGCAGGGCAGCAGCCCTGTGCTGGCACGAAGAGCTGAGCCGTGGTGCGCTGCAGACTCAGGCACTGTCCCTCCGGAGGAGCTGTCCACCGAGGGACAGCTCCCAGGAGACTCTCAGAGTCTCCAGCGTCCCAGGTACCAGTGATCGTCGGGGTACATCCAGGAGACTGTGGGATTCTGCTTCCTGGATGCCTGTTCTGGGAGGGCTTCATTATCAGGGCTCGGACTCCCCTGATATTTACCCGCCCACCCACGTTATTTTTACTTCACCTAACATCTACCAAGCCCAAGGTCTGTGGTTTTGGTGTCCAATACCAGGGGCCGTTGCTGTCATCCCTGGGTCCCAGTTTTCTCCAGCTGTTCTTGGGAAGGCAGGGAATGCCGGCGTGGCAGGTGGCAGTTCTGCAGGGTTGGAAGCCCAGAGAGCCTAGGCAGCCAGATCAGACTGATGTGGGACCTTCATGGCAGAGCAGACTTCTCTCAGTAGCCCTGACCAGCCAGGCCAGCAGAAGCAGAAATGGGAGGGTACCAAACCACAGGAAGACAAACACATACAAACCCACTAAGCCTGGGTAAAGGAGGTAAGGAGTTGGGGGTTGGGGGAGACAAGGGGACAGCCATCAGAATGTCAGCTGGCAAGAGTCCATTCTCCTCTCCAAGATATGAAGTCACTGCGGCCTGGCCAGTGTTTTCCCTTCCCACTGTTGAGGTGGTACAAGAGGAAGCATTTGGGTGAATAATCTGTAGAGCCTTTATCAGCTTGACCTCAGCTTAGTTGAACCCTCAAAGTAATCAACAAGACACTCACATATTCATTGGCAATTTCTAGGCACAGTTGGGCTCAAGGACTATTGTGTTGGGAGTGCACTGTAAAAGCCTGCAAGGCCTCTACATTCTCTTTCTAGTGGGGCCAGGCATTCCCAGACTTTTCTATCCTTGGGTCTGGTTCTTCCACCTTTCTGATTGGTGTCTCCCCAGGATAAACAGAGCCTTATGCCAGCACCTGACTGAGCTTGACTCTCAGTGAGGCTGCTGCTGGTGGTGGTCCAACAGGCTAAGCATCAGTTTTAGCTGCTTGGTGGAGAGTAAAGGGTAGGTTGGTAGAAATCTTGACTGCATCCAAGCAGGTTTTGGTTTAGTGGAGCAGAGGATGTACCTACCCTACAGCTCTAAAAAAAAAAAAAAATGGCCTGTGTCCTTCTTAGCCTAGTTTATTTCTAATGTGCCTTCCAAACTGGTCCGTATTTCCCAGGTCAGGAGACCCTAGAGGTCCTGACTACCTACTCTTTGGTAACATGTCCTTCCATATTCCCATTGTACCCACCCTTGGAGGCTGCTGCCCAGAGACTCCCCAAGTCACCACTCTGCTAGTTGACCCCAGGGTCTTCAAGCAGCCCAGAATGTCACACAGAATACAGGGCCTTAGAAGAATTGAGGCCACTCCAGCACACATGCATACATACTCATACACACACAGGACCTGGGGGAGGGCCTTTCTGAATTCACTTCTTCTCTACTGCACACCAGACCCAGGCATCCTAGAGGAAGATCCGAGCACAGTTTAGTATGGTTTAGCCCTTGAGGAGCTACAGTTTGGCGTTATCAGTTGAGTTCCAGGAGAACCAAACTACTGTTCTGACCGTGGTAGGTTGGGATGGGCAAGGGATGGCCAGTTAGCCTTGAGTCACATCAGCTTCATAAAAGCCATCAAGTTGGTGACTCAAGGCAGGATCCACTCTCTCCCCCCTCGGGATTCACAGAGGTCACTGTGCTCAGGGGCACAGGGCTGAAGGAGACTACACACTAGTGACAGCCTCTAGTCTCCTTCTGGTATGCAGGTAATGCAGTGGGAGGTGAAGGATTCATTCTGGCCTAAGTGGCTCATTGTGATGCCGCTTCTCCTCTGTTCCAAGGTCTATAGCTCTGCTACTCTGGAGCAAGAATCACCAAGATGCCCATCCTGGAAAAGGTCCCCCAAAAGATGGCTGCAAAATCTAGCAGTGAGGAGGAGCCGGTGAGTAACTTTCTGAGCCATGTGTCTGATCCCTGATCTCTTCTCTCACACACTCTTATTTCCAGAACAGTCTTGAGTGGCACTGGTCTCTGGATTGTTCCTCAGCTTTGTGTTCCCCTAGGCAGAAGGCCTCCTTCAGAGGAGTCTGATTGGGCCTGAAGGGCTAGCGCCCTGCTTCTAGAGTTTTAAGGCAGAAGTCCCAGTTCTGGTTCTAGAAGTTCCAACTGGCTAGACTAAGCCATCTGTCCTAAATATATCAATTAAGGGGGCAAGATGGTAAGAAGGTAGAGAAAAGGGACTTAATCAATGGACACATTGGGAAGATGAACAGGTAAAGAGATCCAGTGATCTATCCTAAATCTATCCTCAGGGCATGGCCATAAACTGGAAGTTTTAGAGGCAGAATCAGCATGGGAGCAGAAATATTTGCAAGTAAAGAGTCATGGTCAAGACTAAAGATGTGGTCTGGTTGATCATTATCTCAGCTAGGATTCTGCACGATGGTCAGAAGAAGTTGCTACTGTGACCATTTGGGGGAAGCAGTTTGTTTTCCAACATCTTCCTGGTCCAGAGGGAAGCTTCCTTATTTGGATAATTGCCCTGCTTTGCAGGGTTGTCTGCTCATTAAAGGCTTCAGATGGTGCTGTTTGGGGAATGCAAAGTAATTGGTGTTTAGAACAATGAATGGAGGAAAATCTGTGAGAGATGGTTAGGTTCCTCTTTGTTTTGTTTTATTTTTTTGAGATGGGGTTTCTCTGTGTAACCCTGGCTGTCCTTGAACTCGCTCTATAGACCAGGCTGGCCTGGATCTCAGAGATCCACCTGCCTTTGCCTCCTGAGTGCTGGGATCAAAGGTGTGAGCCATCACCACCAGGCTAGGTTAAATTCCTCTTATCTTTGTACTTTCAGCCATGTAGAAGGGTGAGTTGGGTTAGGTGTTGCTGTTGTTGTTGTTGTTTATAAACACTCCTTGAGTGGTTATCATAACTACATGCATGAGTCTTACCCAAACTAAATAGAACACACTCAAAAAATGAAGGCAGAGGTATCAGGCTTTCATCCCATTCTTAATTACCTTGTGGACCAAATGAGGAGTCAATGCTTTGGGAGCATTTTCTGCATGCCAGCTGTAGCCTCAGGCTGCTAGGGAATGCAGATGACTTTCTGAACCTCAAATTCAAGGGGAACCCCTGGCACCATTCAGGCACCATCTCCTTCACCCTATCCTAACCTCACTGTACCCCAAGTTTTCTTCAGATGGCTTCAAGCCCAACGTGCTTGCCTAGGCAAGGCTGAATCCCCTTCCCAAGCCCTGGCACATCCCAGCAGCATCTGCTGCCACCGGTTCAGCCCAGGAGCATTAAGCATCATCTTTTCCATTGGTCTGAAACAACATTACCCACCCTGGGCATCCTCCCTGAGAAGGCATCCTCCCTGCTACAGCTAACCTTGCAGAGATAGAGCAGAACATCTCTGTTCAAGTTCCGGCACGTGCTGGTTGGTGCCTCTGCCACACTCATCAGAACGTTCGGGCTTCTGTCCTTGAACCTGCTCCTTACATTGCCCCAGCTTCTATAGCTGACCCATGCTACTGCTGCTACAGCCCACAGCGTGTCCCTCTTCTTCCCCTGCTTTAGGATGTAGCATCCTCCACTGTCTCTAAGACTAGCCCAGGACCTGGCTGTGAGCCACTCAGGAAATAATGTGGACTCTGGGATTCTGAGCCTTTGCAAGGCTGGGGGTTCACAGCCATAAGAGGAGGAGCCATGCCTGGAGCTGAGATTTGTTCATCTTATGCATCACTGTTTCCCTCTCACCCAGGCTGTGCCACAGCACAAGGGAAAGCCCAGACACTCTAGTCAAGCCTGCCAGGAGATATGCATGTGCCTGTCCCATCCACACAGACCCCCATAAATATAAGAGGAGGAACAAGAGCGGCTGAGGGGATGTCGGCCTGGTTTGCTTGAAGTGGACTAGACAACCTGGGACACTGCCCAGACCTACCTTGTACTTGTAGTGACCCCAGGACAGCAGCCCCAGAAGGTGCAGGCTGACACTCCACCTCCAGCCAGAGCCCCAGAGACAGGATCAGACAGGTGGCAACTTATCCATGGTACTTGTTCTGCCCACCAGCCAGGGCTGAGTCTCAGGAGAAGGCAGGTGCTTTCAGCAGCCCACCGTGGGGGTGAGCCTTTGGCTACCCTATGGAAACTCGACTCACCACCTCCCAGACAAGAAACCCCTGAAGAAAGACACCCTGCTGTGTGCCAACAATTTAAGGGAAGATCTGGCTTCCCTATCATCAAAGGCTGAGAGAGGGAAACCCAAAGGGGAAAGCAGAAAGGTTGTGAGGAGAGGAAAACCCCCAGAGAAAGGAGGAGAAGCGAACTGGGGGTGTAGCTCAGTAGTGCTTGCCTGGCAGGCACAAGGCCCTGAGAGGGGAGAGGCAGGAGGGGAAAGGAGGAGAGGGAGGGGAGGGGGAAGGAGGGGAGGAAAATACATTGATTTAAAATTACTACGTGGCTAGAATTAGTCTCTCCATACTTTGGGCTTCAGTTTCCTCATCTGTAAAGACAAAAACCCCTGCCTGGCTATGTGACACTTGGGAGATACAAGCACACAAGACCCCTAGTCAACCATGGTTGATTAACGGGAACAGGCAATGCTCATGTGGGAAGATGCCAGTGCGGGTTCCTTTCTGCCTCACTTCACCTGGATTCCCGAGACCACAGGCTTCTCCTTGGGGTTCCCTTTGGATGGATAAGGCCAGTTAACCAAACCTTATATATGTTTATTGGAGCAGGTTATTTTTCTCATTTGTTTTCTTGGGATCCATGAGGTAGGAAGACTTTGTTGTTTGTGTCCGGAGGGTGAAATGACCCATGGCTTGGAGAGGTCTGAGCAGGAAGGACTTCCACTCCAGTCCCCTGCCTGGGTTTCATACCTGGAAGCGTGGGACAAGAAGCACAGGGCAGAAATAGCCACTGCCCAGGGAGCCCCGTCTCCATCCAAAGCCGCCTTAACCCATTCAAGGCTCTCTCTGTAAGAGTAGTCCTCCAGTCCAGGGAGCACTCAGAGCCCGGCGCACCAGCTGGGAAGAGTTCCCACATGAAGAGTGACCAGCAGTCAGCAGCCATGCCAATGATCTTTCATCCCAGACCCATCCTTTACGGGCTGTGAGCACATTCTCATCTGTCATCCGTTCCACCCTGTGAGAGGATCATTTGTCATGGGAAGAACTGGGCCCAGGCAGAGGGAGAGACTTTCCCAAGGACGTATAACTGATCAGCAGCAAGGTCAGGGTGTGAACCCACCCAGGCCTGTCTGGTGCCAACAGCAGGGGCAGGGTGAGTCTAGGTCTATTGTCTGCACTATGCATTCCTGAAACCCAGGTAGAGTGTGGGGCAGGGCGAGGGGCGGCAGCGGGGGGGGGGGGGCAGGGACAGCAAACAGGAAGGCTTTTAATTTACATCTCTGCTGATCTCAGCCCAGTGAACAGGTTCTGGAATGGGGAGTGGATGGGACAGAACGGGACATGTCCTGACATCAACTCAAGGACAGGTATGGGCCATATTAAGGAATGGGGTGAGTGCCCATGAACCCTCTTTTCCAGGACCTACCCAAATTGCCAGTGCCCCCACTGCAGCAAACACTGGCCACCTACCTGCAATGCATGCAGCACCTGGTCCCTGAGGAGCAGTTCAGGAAGACCCAGGCCATTGTGACGCGGTTTGGGGCCCCTGGAGGCCAGGGTGAGACCCTGCAAGAAAAACTATTGGAGAGGCAGGAAAAGACAGCCAACTGGGTAAGGGTTGCTGGACAGAAGCTGACAAGAGACCTCTGGAGGGGAGAGGAGGAAGATGAGAGGATGTGGGTGAGGGTAATAGGTTGGCGGTGGGATTGGGAGTGGGCAATGGATGGGGACTGGCTGGTAGCGCAGGTTGGGTGGCCGCAAAGGAGAGAGGCAGGCAAGATGGAAGATAAAGGGAAAGAGGAGGACAGAGAATGTGAAAGGTAAAGACAGAGGCGAGAGACTGGGAGAGATGGGGCCCAGAGCTGGGGACAGGGAAAGGTGGGGATAGAGATGAGCTTAGTTGGAGGCAGGGTGGGGTGACAGGTAGTGCAGGGGTGTATCACTGAAAATGGGAAAAGAGGAAGGAATAAGGGAGACAATGTGGGGTGGAGATGACAGGTGTGCTTGGAGGATTAGGAAGATGCAGGCTCAGCACAGAGCTGGAGCTTTAGTGCATTTGTGGAATGAATGAATGAATGAATAAATGAATGAATGAATAAATGAATGAATGAATAAATGAATGAATGAGTGAATGAACTATCCACAGGATGGGGGTGCTGATCCAGGGTAGGCAGACTAGGACTGCTGACCTCTGGTACCTGTTTAGGAGGGGTTTGAGGGGATTAGATGATGTAATGTACCTAATGTACCCTCCCCTGGCAGGTATCTGAATACTGGCTCAATGACATGTATCTCAATAACCGCCTGGCCCTGCCAGTCAACTCTAGCCCAGCTGTGATCTTTGCGCGGCAGCATTTCCAAGACACCAATGACCAGCTACGGTGAGGCCATGGTGCTACGGGGTGTGCATCAGAGGAACCCACCCAAGATGTGGGGCCAGGAAGGCGAGAACAGACTTTGTGCAATGGCTGAGCTTGCCAGGGCCAAGCAATACAACACATTAGCTCCCAGCGCCATCAGGCCAGGAGGGAAGTTAGGCACGGCATGGTAGTATTCAGTAATAAACATAGTCTTGCCCCAAACACATTATCGTCATCATTATCATCATCATGGGAGCCATGGGCCCCAGAAATCCACATAGTAGTTTTGACCCCGCCGGAGGAGCTATGAGCTGTCATTTAAAAGTAGCCCTGGCTGGGACATGCTGCTCCAGGTGCCTGAGAGTTCCTCTGTGTCCCCTGGAGCCCTGCTCCAAACAGACTCCTGGAGGAGGGACATCCCTCCCTGGCAGCACAGCTGCCATCTGCTGCAATTTCAGAGCTCAGTGAGCCGCTGGAAAGGCCTCTAGGTGCACTGAGGATGGCGCCAGTGGTGGGTAGGGGCACTTTCGGAGTCTGTTAGATTTTCAACCTTTTCATGTCTCAGCGGGGTGAAGGCAGGCACAGTCCAGGCCTAGCTCCCCCCTGCCCCCCTTTAACCTAAAAGAAAGAACGAGGATGGATAGATTCTGAAGACAGTTCTCCAAACTGCATCTGAGGGGCATTCCCCCCCCCCCACGTAATTAAGCGAGGCCTCATCATCCACGGACAGTTAAGACAGCACTGTCCCCTGGCACCCGTTCCTGAGGCTTTCCCTCCTGGGACTCACTCACTTTCCTTTTCATTAGCCACTAAAAGGATCCAAATGGCAGGCTTGCCCCCAGAAGACTGCATTTCCCAGAAGATCCAGCCACAGGGGGGCCCCAGGGGAACCCCAACCCTCACCTTCCCTTTCCTGCAGCTCACTCTGCCTGCCTGGCTTCCTCTCCCCACCCCCCAGAGCTAAGCCATTCCCAGTCCTCACCAAAAGACCATTTTTAATCCCAGGCTGTGGTGGGTTGACAGCACTGGGGGAGGGGCAGCAAGACCATCTCCCATTAGTGCACATAGGGGCCGGCATATGGCAGGCGATAGATGGGTGAGTTTGAAGCTGAGGGAGGGGCAGGGAGAGAGATGGAGGAGAAAGGAAAGGAAGAGGAAGTTAGAAAGGAATAAGGAAAAGTTGCGGGGGTGGGAGTTGGGGGTCTGGCTCACAAGACTCCTTGTCTCTCCGTGTCCCTGCAGATTTGCAGCCAGCCTCATCTCTGGTGTGCTCAGCTACAAGGCTCTGGTGGACAGGTAGGCTGGGCGCCCAGGCTGGGAGGGAGGGGGTAGGGCCCTGCGTGGTTGTCCCCTCCCACATCTGTCTCCCTGCTGAGATATACAGGGTGCTCCAGAGGGCAGGGAGTTGGTCTTTTATCCAGCTGTGTGGTGTCCCTTGCCACTGCTCAGCCTGAGGATGGCCTTTCTCTGACCTTTGAAAGTGCCCCTCCCTCCCAACCCCATCTTTTCTACTGTGGTATCAACCAGACCATTTGGGTCTGGAGATCCCAGGAAGGGTGGAGAAGGAAGCAATGATAAGAGGTGGTAAGCTAAACGGTACCAGCAGGATGACAGTCTCCACACTTTGAGCCTTAGCGTCCACATGCCCACCCTTGCTTAGTGAACGTGGCTACTCCTATAGGTGGTGGGAGCTGTGCAGGCAGTGAGTTCTCCTCAATTCTAGGAGGAAGGTCCCCCTCCTAATCAACCCCAGGACACTAGGGACACCAGGCAGGGCAAAGAGCCACAGGTGTTGGAATGAAGGAAGGGCCAGTAGCAGAGTCCTATGCATACATAAGAAAGAGAAACTCAGAGAGGTTTAGTAACACATCCATGACCACACAGCTGAGAAGTGGAAGGACGAGGGCACAGGGCAGCCTTCGCTTTCTGTTCTATGTGGATTCAGGTCAGTGTTTACCCAACCTTGGGACAGAAGCTAAGACACACATTGTCTCTGGGGAAGAGGCGAGGCTCTGGACCTGGGGTCAGCATACTTGCATCGGAATTGTTTACGACAGTGGTAGGAGCATTGACTTGGGCCAGTCTGATAGCTCTCTTTCCACACTGGCTACCAGGGCTTGTGGGCTGCCCTTCTCCGCCATATTTCCAGAGCTTCTTCTAGAACTCACTTCTCCATTCATGCACCGTCTCTGTCTTCAGAGAGCCTGTCCTTTTCAGTGCCCCTGCTGCAGGGTACAGGAGGGAAGATTCCGACCCTGGCAGCAGAGCCCAGGGACCACGGAGCCATTAATTACTAGCAGGTTTGACTCCCACCTCTTACAGGAGTGTACAGATACACATTACATGCACACACACACACAGGCACCTGTTTCCATGCGAGCCCACATAAAGGTTCCTGCGTCCTGTACTTGCAAATATCATAAGGCGGGGGCATTTGAAAGTGCCTGGCTAGGACGCTTTAGTCATTTACTCATTCACTTTTCAGTATGTTGGTATGGGAAGAGCACAAGAAGTTGGGCCTCTCACCTGCTCCCAAAAGGTTCTTGGGTGGACACAAAATAAAACCCCATTCCTTTCCCAAACTCCAGGCATCCCCACTGGGGCACCTTCTGGTCACTACAAAGGGGTCCAGTGAGCTTTGTATACTTCTTCCATGTGCACTCAATGCTGACCCATCCTGCCTTCTCTGTACAGGCAGTAGTACAACTGCATTGATAGATCCTCGAGTCTCTTGTGGTCACTCTTTCTCTCTGCGTGACATCCATGGTGCTCAGAAGTGGCTACCACCTACCCCAGCTGGCTCCCACACATCCCTCCTAGCTGGAGCACATTATTTCCCACCTTGACTGTAGCCTTCTTCCTGGTGCTTCCTGGAATAGACTTTGGTCCTCTCCCTACAGAGGCTAGGTCATTAAAAAACAAAACAGGACAGGACATGCTGGGAATATAGCTTGGTGGTAAGAGCACTTGCCTTGCATGGGTGAGGCCTTGGGTTTAGTTCTCAGTACTGACAGAACAAAACGAAATAAAATAAAAAAAACGCCACACACACACACACACACACACACACACACACATGTGAGCATACACAAAAGCCAGCGCTGTGTTTCCGTGATGGTGTGTGTGCTTAGCATGGGTGAGGCCCTAGGTTCAACCCTTAGCTCCAAAAGAAAAAAAAGCAAACGTAATTCAAATCATGCTCCTGCATGTCAAAGCTCCTGGGGCTTTTGAATGCACCAAGCGTAAGCTGCCAACTTCTATGCTGCTACCACAGCCGAGGGCCCCATCCCTTCCCATTTTTGTAGTCCTTAGTCTTCACTCAGCTGCAACCCTGTCGGCTTATTTTCTGCATTCTGCTAGTCCAGTGGTAAGTTTCAAACTATCTCTGGGGAAGGGTCTTTGTTTTCAAATTTTGTGAAATGCAACAAAAAAGTAGTCACTACACAAAGTTTATGAAGGTGTAAGCTACAAGATTGCAAGGTTTCGTGTTGAATTCAATTAGCATAAAATCCCCACCACTGCTACAGATGCTTTTGGATTCTGGACCATCTTACCAGAGGTCAGTCATGACATTTCCATGCAATGTCCTCACTTTGTGTGGCAGCGCTGTGAGCACTCCACCTAGCCCACCTGTCTGGAAGCTTCTTACACTTTGGGCTCAGCTCAGTCAAGCAGGCTTTCATGAGACTTTCTCTTAGCCCTGAACTCCTGCCCCTGCCAGCCACTCAACCTACCTGAAATTCTCCTGATGGCCATTTTGCTATATTTACCCCAGCAACACATCTCAGGACCCATACCCAGTCAGAGTGGAAAAATCATGTCTGGTTAACATTATCTTCCCCAGACCTCAGAATAGTGCCTGGCATAGAACTGCCTAGCAAAATTCGAAAGCTGAAAGAGCAAAAGAATAAATGGATTAGTGGGTGGAGAATAGGTAGATGGATGGTGGGTAGATAAATGCATGGTAGATGATTGGATGTACAAAGGGTAGACAGAGAGTGATGGATAAATACTCAATGCATGAATGGACAATTGCATGTGTGCAGATATGCATGGTAGAAGGATGAATGACTTGATGGGTGAGTGATAGATGAATGCATGGGTGTTGGATGGTTATATGTATGGTAGGTGAATGGTGGGTAGGTGGGTTCGTGGTAGAGCAGTAGATGAATTAGTTCCTTTGCTGTTGTTGTGACAAAATGCCATGATCAAAAGCAACTTATAGAAGGAAGGGTTTGTTTCCGCCTATGGTTTCTGACAGGGAGTCCATGATGGCAAGGAAGACATGGAAAAAGACAGCCAGATCAAAAAGAAAGCTGCCTAAACACATTTGAACAGCACATATAAGTGAGAATGGAGGAGGGAGTGGGAGGAGCTCAGGAAAGTAGAGGGAAGCTATAAATTTGTAAAGCCCACCAAGTCTGTGCCTCCTAAGAGTTCTAGGATCTCCCCCAGATAGTGCCATCAACTGGAGGCCAAATGTTCAAACACATGAACCCATGGTGGAACATGTCTCATTCAACCTACAAGAGACAGATATATGGTGAATTAGTGGATGGATGGGTGGTAGACAGATGAGTGGATGGATGTGTATAGAAGATAAATGTATCTATACATGCATGTGGGTGGATGCATGGATAGTGAATTGATAGATGCATAGATGGGTTAATGCAGTGATTCTCAACCGTCCTAATGCTGCAACCCTTTAATGCAGTTCCTTATGTTGGGGTGACCTCCAGTCACAAAATTGTTTTCATTGCGACTTCACAACTGTAATTTTGCTACTGTTATGAATCACAATATAAACAGTGGTGTTTTCTGATGGTCTTAGGTGACCCCTATGAAAGGTTGTTTGATTCCCCCAAATGGGTTGGGACCCACAGGTTGAGAACCACTGGGTTAATGCATGATCATGGTATATGAATGGATGCATTGATAGTAGATGAATGGATGACTAGATAGAGCATGTATAGACATGATAGATAGATAGATAGATAGATAGATAGATAGATAGATAGATAGATAGATAGATAGATGGGTAAAGGAATGTATCAGGCTTTTTCATTTCATGACATGGAGACTTCTTACTAGTTTTGAATGTTCTGCTTGCTTAGGCTCATTTCTGACTAGCTCTTTTAACCTAAACCGTTACTCTTTACCCACATTTTGCCTCGGGCCTTTTTTATTTTCTTTTCCTTCTGTATAGCTTACTTTCATTGCTTCTCATGCCTGCTGGCTGGAGGCTGCTGGTCCTGAGCATCTCCCTCATTCTCTTTTCCCTCCTTCTCTTGTTCTTTGCTCAAGCCTGGATTCCCCTCTTATTTATTCTCTCTGTCTGGCAGCCTTGCCTATCCCTCTCCTGCCTACCTACTGGACACTATTTTGACCAATCAGGTGCCTTAGGCAGGCAAGGTGAAACAAATGCAATGTATCTTTACATAATTAAACCAAGGCAGCATAAACAAAAATAATACACCTCTACATAGTTAAAGTAATATTCCACAGCATAAACCAATGTAACACATCTTTGCCTATTTAAAATAATATTCTATAATAAGGGATGTATGGATGGATACATGATGGTTGTAGTTGGATGGTGGATGTATATATGGATAGATAGATGCATGGTGGATGTGTGGGTGGTTGAATAGTTGATGGATAGATGCATGATGGATGGATGGATACATGGTGGTATTGGATGGATAGATGGATGTGTATTTGGAGAGATGGATAAATGGATGAATTGACAGATTTGATAGATAAATGAGCAATGGGTAAATGAATGACAGCAAACATAATTATGGGATGGATGGATAGAATAATAGACATATCATTCAGAAACCACATGACAAAAGAATTTTCTACTTTGAATTTTGAGAAGGTTTCAATAAGACATAATAAAGAATCGGCTCTTGAAGGAGGAGTTTTCTAAAATACAATGGAGTTCAAGGGTAGAGGGAAAGGTGTGCCAAGAAAAGATTGGTGTAAGCAAACAGGGCATTAAAAGGCAAAAATTATAAGTGCATTGTCTGAGACTGGGGTGAGGGTGGAGTTCTGAAGGTTTGGGGAAATTTTGAGGTGCTCTATGGGCCACAGAAATGGAACATTCTATTACTTCACAAAATGAAGCAGAGCTCTACCATAGTCCAGTTGTAAGTTTGGTATCACAAAAAAATCAGGGGGTAGTAGCCCAGTGGTAGAGTATTTGCTTAGCATGCACACAAATCCTGGGTTTGAAGCAAAAACCTTCAAAAAGGAAAAATAAGGTTACCATAGAACCCATCCCAGTGCCTTCTTTCCTCCATCCCCTCACACCCACCTGTCACTCTATGCTCCTCCTTCTAGCCATTCCCTCCCCACTGACTGGGCCAAGGGTCAACTCTCAGGGCAGCCCCTCTGTATGAAGCAGTACTACAGGCTCTTCTCCTCTTACCGGCTTCCTGGCCATACCCAGGACACACTGGTGGCCCAGAAGAGCAGCATCATGCCTGAGCCTGAGCATGTCGTCGTGGCCTGCTGTAACCAGGTAAGTGGCCCATTTCATAGGCTCTCACACTTAGAGAGGGTGTGGAGCATATAGTGCCCATCCATTCCCGCTTCCTCACAAGCAGGCAGGCTGGTTTCCTGAGTCATGGTGTTCCCCAAATAGGATTCCCTGCTCAGTCAATCCATTTCTCTTTGGCAGCTGTATTTTAAGAATGAAAATAATATTCAGTTATGGAATGTACCCCCTGGGTTCTTATCCCTGAGAAACCAAGTCAGGCTGGAGACCCATCTAATGAACCTTCGTCTTCACAGCTATTCATTTCCATGCCCTTCCTGGAGACTAGATGGATGGGCAGAGTGAGAACTAACAGAGAAGACCTCCCACATGTAAGACTTGGGTCAGGAACTTACATTTTAGTTCCACTTAAGTATTCACAATGACCCTGTAGAGGATGCCTTTGAGTCTTCATTGGCAGGCAAGAAGATGAGGCTTAGGGAAGTTACTGGTATGTGTAAGAAAGATTCCAAGTCCTACCAACTGCCCAAGGTCGGGCTCTATATCCTAAAGTTCAGGTTTTCAGATACAGTTCCACAGGACCAGAATGGGTTCCCATGGCAAGAGAACAAGATGAGCATGAAGGCTACTGACCCCTTCTCAGTACTCACTACACTATATATCCTGTATGCTGATACTTCAAATATTTCTTGTAACAGAAAGTGGGGGCTCAGGGGTCTTCCTGACTTTTATATTGAAAGCCTAAGTTTGACAACCATTCCTGATTCCCAACCACCCTCTCTATTTATTGTCTAATGTTTTCTTCCTGGGCTCATGTCAGTACATTGAGAGCTTGGGGAATGTCTATTGTCTGGGGGTAGCTGTGACCACTGTTTGCTGGCTGAAAGGTTAGCAGGATACTCTCCAGCCACCTGATACCATGACCAGTCGGACACAAAGTGAAACCTTTCTTCGTTTTCATTCAAAGAAAGTCAAACCAAGCATTTCTCAGCCTCCATATGACACATTACCCAAGTCTTCTAGAAACAGCCATTGGCCAGACTTCATGGACTTTGTTGAGTATGATGGGTGGGGCAATTACTCATGTCCATTTGCTGAAAGGGATGCAGCAGGCGGTTGTCAAGGATAATACCCTTTACCAAGTCCAAGGCCCTGGCTTTCAAAGCTACAGAATCACAGCATCACAAGGTATACATGCCAATATCATGCATACATGCACAAATATACCCCATGTTTTGTGTGTTGGCTTTCTATTTTAATATTTGTCTATGACTGTTGGTTTGCTGTTGCTGTTGTTGTTGTTGTTGTTGTTGTTTAGATCCTTACCCATAACTCTGTCTGTAGCTGTTTATTCAGGTTCATTGTGCAATGCACTTTTACTTATCCAGTCTATTCCAAAAGAAAACCCAGGCTCTTTATTGTCTTGATAAAACAAAAAGTCTGATTTGCACACACTCTTTCACATTCTTCAGTACACATGAATGTGATTCCCTAAGCCCTAGGCTAAACTCTGCATATGCAGGTACAGCTGCTGAGTCATAGACAGGCACTTTTAGATTTGACTGACACAGCCTTCCAACAGTGCTTGTACCAGTTTATACTCGACTCTCTGCAAACATGATCATTTTGCATGCACTAGAAACCACAAAAAGAAAAAGAAAAGGGAAGAAAGGAAGGCAAGCAGGAAAGGAGGGAGGGAGAGAGGGAGGAAGGAAAAGGCTTTCTGGCAGTTAGGTTTAATCTAGCCTGTGCTAGGGAGAGCTTGGAGTCAGGTACAGTCAACAGCTTTGGATGCCCTCCAAAATAAGAAACTCAGAAACATTAAACACCCTGGGATCCTTGGGCCTGAGCTTAGTAAAGGCTCCCTGAAGGCCTGGAGCCTTGAGCTGGCTGCCACAAGTGATGTGTTTGACCTGTTTCCCCCACAGTTCTTTGTCTTGGATGTTGTCATTAATTTCCGCCGTCTCAGTGAGGGTGATCTGTTCACTCAGTTGAGAAAGATAGTCAAAATGGCATCCAACGAGGATGAACGCTTGCCTCCAATCGGCCTGCTGACGTCAGACGGGAGGAGCGAGTGGGCCAAGGCCAGGACGGTCCTCCTAAAAGGTTAGCTGCAGCACCCAGCCCATCTCCATCCCATCCTCACGCCCATCCGCTTTTCCTTCTCCAGCGTTTCCATCAGCCACAGTGGGGAGCTCAGGACTCCTTCCAGCTCAGGGTGGGGCAGCAGGGAGGTCCCTTGAAACAGAAGGGACCTGTTGGACCTTTGCCTTCTATGCGATGATACTCTATCTTTCTGGATGAAAGAAAGGAGCCCTAGAATCGTGGGTCATCTGGCTGTATGGAGTGCTGATGACAGCCAGAAGCTGTGTTTTACTGGTGTACTGTGTAGTGTTATTTTGGAGACTTGAGTCCTTAGAAGAGAAGGCAGATAGGAATCTGGTATAGGGCCCCACTCTGGGAGTATAGCTGGCTCCTTCTTCGCCTGGCCTCTCAGTCCTAGGACTTTTCATCTTCAACCTAATGCTCTGGCTGTTCTTATGAAGCTTCTAAACATCCCCATTAGAAATCCAGTTATCTACCCCACCCCCATACACCCTCATGTGTGTGTTCATGTTCATGTTCATGTGCATGCAGGTGCACGTGTGTATGTATGCATACACATGAAGGTCAGAGGACAGCTGTCATTCATTGGGTGTTGCCGCCGCCCTCCTTTTCCCCCCCTACACACACACACATACTCTGAGACAGGATCTCCCACTGTCCTGGAATTCAGAAAATAAGCAAGACTGGCCTGGCCAGAAAGCCCCAGAGATCCACCTGCCTCGGCCTCTCCCCATGCTGAGATTACAAATGTGGTATACTATGCCCAGAGTGGTGTTTTTTTTTGTTTTTTGTTTTTTGTTTTTGTTTTTGTTTTTGTTTTTTGTTTTTTGTTTTGTTGTTGTTGTTTGTTTGAATGTTTGGTTTTTTATCAGTTTAAGTTTTTAATCATCTTCTAGAAGCTCCTTTTGAAACCAAAGCCATTCACTGGAGGAACAGCTTCCTTTCTTGCCTCTGCTGGATGTCATGTAACGAGAAGCCAGACTTCTAGGAGTCTTTGCCCACTGCTAGGGACCTCAAAGGACCAGGCAATAATTCAGATTCTGTGTAACTGAGGAGGGAGACACATCTGGGGTGTGAGAGTCAGATAGGACAAAGCCTCTGCCCCTACGGAACCCAGTGATCGGAGAAGGCATGAAGAGGAAGCCCAGGGACACAGGAACACCATCTTTACCCATCTGAGGAACAGAGAGAGCAGGGACCACATGAATGGTCCAGGGCTTCAGAGAACAGAAGGAACACTTCCACACAGGATTTGAGAGGCTTTGTTGGGAAACTATGAGTGAGGAGCTGGTGGAGTGGAGGATGACGTCTAGTCAGACAGATTAGTGTGGATGAGGTGGGTCACATTGTGGGGCCGCCAGAGCAACTGGTGAGCAAGGACATCTGGGTGGGCTCTGATTCCCAGATGATAAGTGTTTCTAGTCCCTCTTCCTAGAAAGCTCTTTCCCAAGAATTGGTCGGCCCCTTGTGCCATGCCGAGCTCAACTCTGATGTGCAGGCTCAGACCCTCCCTAAGCATTCTTCCTTGCTGTTAGCATGCAGTCACCTTGCTCCACTTTTCTTTGTTAAGATTTATTTATTATGTATACAGTGTTCTCTCAGCACATCAGGAGAGGGCACCAGATCACAATATAGATGGTTGTCAGCCACCATGTGGTTGCTGGGAATTGAACTCAGGACCTCTGGAAGAACAATCAATGCTCCCAACCACTGAGCCATCTCCAGCCCCCTCGATCCATTTTTTTAAAGATTTGTTCTATTCTCTCTCCCCACTCCTGGGTGTGTGTGGGAGTGTGGGCACATGAGTGTGGGTGTCCATAGAGATGGGAAGAAGGCACTAGATCCCTGAAGCTGGAGTGACAGGCAGTTATGACCCACCACACATGGGTGGGTACTGGGCCAAACTCAGGTCCTCCGTAAGAACAGTAAGTGCTCTTAAGCCCTGAACCATCCCTCCAGTCCCCCTGACTCATTTTCTTATCTTGAATGACTTGCCACACTGAAGAAAGCTCTGCTCTTGTTTGGTCAATGCTTGGCCTCCCTGCCTACATCCGGAAGGTCTGGTAGGATAGGGTCCTGTTTGCTTTAACTTCCAAATCTACCAGGCCAAGCACAGAAGCAGAACAATTACACATGCCAAATAAAACGATGACGAAGGGTTAGTAAAGATACTAGGTGCAGACATATTTACCACTTACCAATTAATCACTCTTTCATCCAAATACTGAGCACCCACTGAATACTTGGTCCTAAATAGAGGGCTGCAGAAACGTGTGCCCCAAATCTGTCTTCACGGACATGACCGCCATGTTGGGGAATTAATAGACTGTAGTGAAATCACATCCTACTCTTTTTCCCTCTGGGAATGGAGACAGGCATCAAAATAATCACCTCTGCAGCCCAGATAGTTTCCACTTTATTAGGCGGCCAGGCCCAAGATGACTGAACAGGGTTGCCTTAAGGTCTGAGTGCATGGGCAGCACTAATCAGAATTAATTTGTTAATGGGGTTTGATCTGGCTTTCTGAATGGAAGTGCTGTTTTTAAAGGAAGTTCTGCAGAAAGGGATCACACAGCCTCCCCCTGGGCAAATCAATTAATCCAATTAGCACCTCTGGCAGTGCCCTCTGCACAGCAGGAAACCAGTTCTTCCCAGAAGGGCGCCCTGGCCCCTGGACCACCACGGAAGGGAAGCTGGAAGCCATTTCAGAAAGTGTTTGTTTCCAAGTGAGAGTGGGGATGAAAAGATTCGGGAGAGTCTAGACAGGTCTCAAAGCAGAAGCGTCACCAGCCAGGAAAGGGAGGGAGGGAGGGAGGGGGAGCCCTGAGTTTCTTATTGGAGCCACTGAATGGACACTAGAATCATTTACTGAGATGGGCAAGGGGTTGAAATGGAGAGATCTTGTCCAAGCACACTTGATTTGAGGCACCCTGAGTCCTCTAAGTGGAGGTGTCATGTTAGATCTATGTGTCTGGAGCTCCAGAGAGATTTGAGAGGCATTGGAACCTAAGTAATATTTAAAGTTATGGGCCTGGATGAGATCATCTGGAAATAAAACAGGGTCTCAGAGGTCAAGCGAGAAAGGCGAAATGAGTGAGAAACAGCCTGGCAAGTGCAGGCACCCAGGAGCCCAGTCAAAGATTGAAAGGGGGAGGAGGGGAGAGCATTCAGCCACGGGGAAGGCTGGGGAGAGGTTAAGAAGGGGCTGCTGAGCTCCTTGGCGCGGTCCCTGAGCTCGATAAGGCTGTGGTGAGAGGGTAGGGATTACCAGCGCATAGGCGGGTAGAAGCAGCAGCAGGGAATTGTTGATGAAGAGGTCAATGACCAGAAATGTGAACATTTCTAAAAGGCAGAACAACGGGACATTTTTGGAAGAGGAAAGGGGCCAGGGAAGTATTACTGGTAGGAAAGACAAGTGCATAGATGTGGGCAGGCAAGTGCCATGGAGGAATGGAGTAAAGGAAATTGCCGATGAAGAGGGTATGGGATGTTCCCAAAGGCAAAAGCAGGTTGAAGCAGGAGATAAGAGACTTTTGTTAGGTCCGAGACCCATCCCCACGGGTCTACAGCTGCCATGGTGGAGTATGAGGAGACTCCCAAAGCTGGCTGGCATCTGGTCAGGGATAGGTAGAGGCACAGTGTGGGTGAGAAGTGAGGGTGGGATTCTGAAGATGGAGGAATATATAAATAGCCTCTTGGGAAATGGGAAAGAATCTTCCTCTGGATATGCAGATTTTTGGACTGTTTGGGGCCCACATAGGAGGGATTGGAGAACCATCAATCTTAGTGAAATCTCCTTAACATTGTTACAGGAGTACACACACACACACACACACACACACACACACACACACACACACACACACTGTTCAGCTTCTCAGATTCAGGAAAGGTGGGTACCTGCCATTTAGCAGAGTTGTTGAATATAACTAGGAGACAGGTAAGGCAAGCGGTGGCTATGACACTGGGGTCTGAACTGACTACATTGCTGTAGTAGTCGGTGTGCTCAAGCTGCCGTGGCTAACCATAGAGTAGATTGTTTCACAGTTCAGGAGACCCACAGGGCTATTTTCTCCCGAGGCCTCTCTTTGTGCTTTGGGAGTGACATCTTCAACCTGTGACTCCACATGGCCATTCTTCTGTGTGAGTCTGTGCCCTAGCCCCCCTCTTTTTATAAAGGTACTAGTACTGTTGGATTAGGATCCATGCTAATGAGACCTCATTTAACTTAATTAGCTCCTTTGAGGCAAGGTGCTTCTAATAGAGCTAAGTTCCCCATTGGGTGTATGGTTACACTGCCAGAGATGAGTGGGCCCAGGAATAGAGAGGAGACAGCATGGACTGCTTAATCCACAAAGATGTTCAAGTTGCAGGGAATGGGGATGAGAGTAGTAAGGGGGGGGAGAAGGTGATACAAGAGCCCAGACACTCAGGATAGGAGGCTGGGAAGAGATGGTTACCGTGTAATGGCAAGGAGACAATGCCTGGGGGAGGGGGAGAGGAGTAAAAAATAATTACAGGCTCTGGATCCAAATGTTAGGGGATGAGAGATTGCTGAGAAGCACCCACCCAACTTGGCCCTGGATATATGGATGTAGTGTCCTATCGCAGGGCACAGGGGTGGGAACCTTTGGGAGCATCAGGCTCCAGTTGAAGCATGTGGATGGAGCATTCACAGACGGGTTAGCCATGCTGAGAACTGGCCCATCACGAGGAGCAGTATGATTTGTTCAGGAAGTAGCAAAGGACAGGAGACTATGGCCGAGTGCTCTTAGGGGATGCATGAAGATGGCGAATGGGAGGAATTGCTATAGTCAGCCATGGTCCTGAGTCTGTAAAGTCCTGGAAGTTGCAGCCTGCCAGCTGGCTGTTACTGGCCAAAGTAACTCAGTGCTGTGATTGAGCCATTTCCAGATGTCATAGATCCCACCTCTCAGCTGAAGCCGGAGAGTCCCACCCCTCTCTCATGGATTGGCACAGGGCCAGAGAGGTGCTGTCCA